GGAGCAGGCAGGATCTTTAAAATTCTCAAGTTTGGACTATCACATCTGGTATACTAAACCTGACACTGTCCCTGTAGTAAAGCTGTTTCCTTTTAATCTTTCTTTAGAAAAAACAACGGAGCAGCAAATTAAACACAATCCTCTCCTCAATTCTCAATTCCATGCCATTTCAGTGTTGATGAATCAGGTCATGTAATAATAAAATTCCTGCAGAAATATGATCTTAACTGTGTAACCTTCAAATTGCAGTTATGCTGCTGTGTGCATTTAATACTGTACTTGACATTCCCCTTTTCCATTTCACTTCTGGATGACATTAGGATCTGCAACAAGGACCTCCTTCAGCACTCCCAGGTTACCATTTATTTTAAAGTATCCCCAAGGTCTCCAGCACCGTTTAGATCAAACTTGCAAAAGTCCCTAGTACTAGCGGTTTTTGTGGGTCCCTCGAGTTGTTTCTGAAAACAGGTTCCATTGTGTCCATATTATGCTTTTAAATTTTATAGCTCATTTTTAAATTACATGTTAATTTCTAAAAATGTTAAATTGCGAGGAGAAGTTGGCAAGGACCACACAAAATCACAGCACTGTTCTGCAGCTTGTGTGTGTCTATGGTACTTATGTTCACAGCTATACCCTTATATTTAAGTACTCTGTACGAATGTGGGCCTGGTCCTGCAGTGTGCTGAGGGTCTCATCAGAGGTGCTCAGCGTGCTGCAATAAACAACCCAGGATCATGCTTTATAAATCACAAACTTTGCAGGATCTGAGTGAAAGAAAAAAAACGAAGGTGAGAGGAAAGAAAAAGGCAGTAGTAATGAAAACATCAGAAACAAAGCACACTCCTGAGTATAAATGTCTAAAAATAGAGATCAAACATCTTCAAAAACCAACCAGTCATTCAAGAGCTTTTTTAAAAGCCACCCTCCTTTCCAGGCCTGCAAGTCTTTAGTTTCCTCACTGCTTTTATTTGTTCTGGCTTTTCTACTGTGCTAAGTAACACATAAAGTGAAATCAATGAAAATCTGCCTACAGAAAAAAGTTAAAAAGCTTCCTGTCCTGCCATTTCATCTCTCTTTCTCTCATTTTAATTTTTGCTTTCATTCACCAAACACACCTCACCAGACAGTGATATCCCAGAAAGTTGGGCTTTTTCATTTCCTTGTGCTATAAATGATGCAGAACATTTTGTTCCCACAGGTGACTGACGATACCATACTCGCAGAGCACTGCAGCGTGATTACAGAAAAAGTCAGCATTTTAGTGATCCGTAAACCAAAGACTGACGTCGCCGCTTTAGATTTACATCCAGACTCACTATAAACATTATTAACTCTTTTCCTTATAGATTTCTGGAGTGCTTGTTGCAGTTGGATTGTTGTTTCTGCGTGCATTTGTACCACAGATACAGATAGGCAAGTCTGGTTTTAGTTACTCCTGTCACACAGTGAACCTGCTGTGAATGACGGCATGCCAAGGAGTTAATGAAAACTTGTTCTCCAACATGGATTTTTAACTAAACAAAAACACTGAACCAAGCCTTTCAGTTGCCAGTTCAAGACACATATTTGACCAATTACATATATTTATATATTATACCTGCACTAGGATTAATCCGAACTGACATTTTCTGCCTTAAGTGACCATGTTCGCATGTGTCACGTTATACACATAAGCATATCAGCTTTCGACACAAACGCTTACATACGTGACACATCCCAGTGCGGTCGCACTC